TTTATGTTTTTCCAGCCTAAGAGGAGATATGATTTTTAAAAGCCTAGAAGAGCGTCGTAGATTAAGAATGTTCTTGTGGAAATCGCGAGATAGACGCGTGGTGGAAGTAATACGTATGTAATTGTTGAATATATTAATTTGGGGAAAAAGAAATCCATTATTTTTATATGAACTTCAGGACTTTATTTAACATGCTTCGGATTGTCCGATTTGGGTCAAATATGCACCGTTTAGGTTGTATGATTTGTTGCCATTTTAAAGGTAACAACAAAATGCCTCTCTCATAGAAGTCCTGGTCTCTATTTGCAAAAACCTCTAGTAGTCGATTTTCGCAATCCTCCCTAGATTCCAATTTTTTATCATTAAAGAAATTTTGCAATGCAAGAAAAAGATGATAATCGCTTGGTGCCAAGTCCGAACTGTATGGCGGATGCATTAAAACTTCCCAACCAAGCTCCCGAAGTTTCTGGCGAGTCAATGTAGATGTGTGTGGCGTAGCATTGTCCTGGTGGAACACGACACCTCTCCTGTTGGCCAATTCTGGCCGTTTCTGGTCAATCGCTATCTTCAAACGGTCCAGTTGTTGATAGTAGAGATCAGAATTTAGCGTTTGGCCATATGGAAGCAACTCATAATAAATATTCTCCTTCCAGTCCCACCAAATGCATAGCAAAACCTTCCTGGCCGTTTGAGGTGCTTCACCGCTCTTTGACCACGATCGTTTTCGCACAGGGTTATCGTATGTGATCCATTTCTCATCTCCAGTCACCATTCGTTTAAGAAATGGGTCTATCTCATTCCGTTTGGCCAAGGCTTCGCAGATGGAAATTCGATCCATCATGTTTTTTTCTGTTAATTGGTGTGGCACCCAAACATCGAGCTTCTTTTTGAATCCAGCTTTGTGTAAATGGTTTAAAACTGTTTTATGGTCGATTTTTAGCTCCTGGGCGATGTTACGACTGCTAACATGCCGATCAACTTCGATCATATCTCCGATTTTATCGACATTTTCGACGACCGGCCTACCTGTGCGAAATGCATCTTTAACATCAAAAATTCCTGAACGGAATCTACGAAACCAAAATTGCACATAATTGGCTGTTACAGTATCGGAACCATAAACACCATTCACAATTTTAGCCGCCTGGTTTGCATTTTCGCGTTTGTCAAAGAAAAACTGTAAAATGTACCGAATTTTCTCTTTGTTCACTTCCATTTTTAACACGCTGTAACTCACAACTGAATGCACCAAACAAAAAACAGCAAAAGAAGTTTTTTTACTGTGAAATGTCACCTTTCCAACGAGCATAAATATGAAATTGTTTGAACGATACTTTACGAGAAATCTATCAGTGCAGCCATCTACCGAAAAAAGAATGGATTTCTTTTTCCCCAAACTAATATTTAGAGACTTCAGATAGGTTTGAGGAATTGATACGATTAATAATCATTTCGTGATCAGACGAAAGATTGTCTGTGATAGTTGTCACGGTCTCGAGTTTTAAAAACTTTATATTGGAAAGCGATGATGATTTCAGGATTTATCGTCTTTTGAATTAGAACTGAGACCGCTGTCTCAGTATTGGGTCGTTTGATTGTTGACTGTGAAGTCGGAGAGACAATTTAGTCAGTGGAGACAATTTAGGGAAGATTACTGTTTGGGTAAGCGTAAGAATTTCGAGAGGAGGTGTAAATTGGAAGCTTCAAACGATCCGCTGCATCTCCTTTGCACTTTGCAATTTTTTGTTGGAAGGACGGGTTTTCAAATTAGATGCACCCTTACAATTGATATATTTTGTAACTTGAGGACAATTCGAAGTGCACTCATGGCTCAGGCCACAGGAAGGGTACAGCGACTTTTGACGCGGGTATACTCTATCCGTGTGACCAAAATGCCAACATTTACGGCACTCTAAATTCATTGGGAAATTAATGCCTTGCAAACAGATATGGGAAGGTAAAATATTCCCGGAAAAACTCATGCAGACTGTGTCCAAAGGCACCCGAGAGTTAGAGTTCTGATCAAATTTATGACTTCCGCAACTTTGTAGAAATGAGATAAGAGTGCGTATAGGAGTAAAGTTTTAGGACGGGCGGTGAAGTAAATTTCGTGTTCAGTGAAATCCGAAGGGATAAAAGCAAGTCCATGGATTTCAAAAAATTCGGGAATATAAACGGTATAAGCATTTTTAAGTGAAGTGTTGGCGGCAGTAGAAATTGCCGTAACGCACCAGTGGTGATCAAGTTTGTTTTATTGTTAGAGACGAAAAAAATCAATAAATTAAGGAAATCATTGGTAAGGAATTATTTCTGGATTGAATAAACAAAGAATACTCACCTCTGGTGTGGGCAAAAGCTTTGGGGTTTTAATGTCCCCATTTGCAAGAGAGGTTGAGTTTGACCTAGTGCCCATACCATATTTCAAGGATTAAATTTTGTAGACCTACAGATAAAAAACAGCCAAATTAAGAAAAGTTGCAGTGGAGTCGGAGTGCGTAATGATGTACTTGAAGTGAGATAAATTCCGTAATGGGAGGTAGCGTTGTTTTCTTATCTTTTTATTTTAATGTAATTTTTTTCTCTTTCTTTAATATTTTACTATTAACAATATTCAAAAAAAAAAATCGCATAACAAGACCAAGAGCGTCTTGATATTTATTATGAAATTATTTGCATTGTTTTTTTATTGAATTAAGTTTTGAAATTTAATATTTTAAATAATTATTTCTCACAGAGAAGAAATTTTATTACAAATTTAATTTCTTAAACGACTCCTGATTAAAAATTTATCCTTTAAAATTTTTATTTCCTTCTTTTTAATGTCTTGCATTTTGGCTTTTCTAAGAGCATCGAAACAAGCTTTACTTATTGCCTTTACGTATAAATTTAGGCAACTTATAATTACTAAAAACGCAGCAGAATAGAGTATTCTACAATTTCATTACAGTCCAGAAAATGCAAATCCAAATGGATCATTCTTTTAGGATTTACAAACTGATTAGTCAGACTTACAGAATACTGGGCATGTGACACCAATAAGAATTTTAATTGATACAATTTTGTCGCAGCAGCCATCAACTTATGGTGAGGTGCATTTACAGCGCTATCATACGTTCTCTTTTTTTATTATCAAGAATAATATTCAAGATTTTCTTTTATGTTTGAAGATTGTAGCTTCCTAAAACTGATATGGATATCTGCTAAACACAGCATATATGTGTTGCGGAAATTTTAGACCGGTGTGTTGTATGCAAACCACGAATAAAATGTGTAATAATTATGATTACTCCGCAAAGTCGAATGAAAATTTTGTGCAACATCACACTTATTTCTTTACTTCTCCTTTCTGATAAATAAAACGGCCAAAAGCAAGAAATTAAAAGTTTATACTCTAATTTCATTTGATGTTAATATTTATGATTACTTTGGATAGTTGAATCAAAATTTTGCTTGGCGACATCCAAATAAAATGATCACAATTTGGAAGTTAAAAGTCTGTCTCTTTGTTTTGCCTGCTGGATGATTTCTTTACTTTGTTAATTCAGCGTATATAATAGCTAGTAACTCACATTGTCACATTGTAATTGTACAATAAGGTGTTTACGTTTAGCTTGAACTGTTGTAATTCAGTAAGCCATTGGCAATTCAACAAATATTTCCGGTTACATAGGCAAACAGATAAAAGGGTTGCATTATTCTTTCATATCTACCAATCGAAACAATAAATATAAGAGTTCCAAATTACGATATCCGTCACCAAAAAAACCGATATACTAGTTTTATTCTTCCCTTTGCAACGTGCTAAGTGAGTATGTACAGCTACGTTCTCTACTGTTGTGTTTGTTTATCGGAAAGGAAGATGAAACTTACTACATGAGCTCCATAGTTGTTGGCTAGAGCCAAGTTTGCGTAACTCTCTCACAATCTTGCTCACAACAAGCAAGAAACTATGACTTATAGTTGAAAGGTTATATTGGACTGAAAATATATTTATGAAAACAATTAAAGGTTGCAGCCCGGATAGAGCTTAGTTGGCTCGCCCACGAAAGGCAAAAAATATAACTTACAGCTATTACGATATTGATCTTTAATCCGGCACAAATATTTCTTAAGGAGAAGTTAAAGACCAATGTAAAATCGTCTCGATCAATTAAATAATATGCTCAAATTTAATGAAATATGTTGGAATATTACAAAAAAATTAGTTTTGACAAGCATCAGAATTCGCCGCAACTTTTTTACTTTACGCTTTAAAGGTGAGTATGCTATTTAGCGAAACAAGATGATTTTTTGCAGTCAATATGTCCATATCCCCGACATAAATTTGTATTAAGTTTCAAGTTAATAACTGCTGTGTGTTTGCCTATCGATCACAGCAATACTTGCTATGTCTATTGCATTGTGAACGTTCTGAAAAGAGACAACGGTTGCGCGGACAGGTTGATAGACGAACATAACAAAATTTACCTAAAAAGAGTAAACAAAAGTGCTGATGTGGTAAACTTCTAACTTTTAGCGCTTGTAGAGGTTTAGCGGAAATAAGAAGAACGACGTAATAAAATAAAATATATGTTTTTTCTTTTTAGACAAATATTGCAACTAGAGATTAATACTTATAATATGGTGTTTTTCACACTTTCTCCTCTCTCTCTTTTTAAATTTTTTTTAATTGACCATTAATTAAAAAATGTATAGAATAAAATATACTAAATATTGTATGTGCAATATGCATTTTTTTTTAAGCCCGGCATTTATAAATTTCCCTTTTCTTTTTTTTTTTTGTTTTCATATTACGTCTTTTTTGTTATGGTACGTGTTGCATGTACATAATATAATCGACGGCCACCTGCCAATTACATTACATATTCTAACATACAACTACAACTACGTGTACCAACAAAATACTTAAAATTACCTAAAAACTGTATCATCACCTACAACATCACCAATTAATCAAAACAAATACAAAACTCCACTTATCAATCAATGAATGTGTGTAGAAGCTAAAAAGGCGAAAAAGACCAAAAGTTTAACAGGTGATTATATAATTAATGACGTAATATAATTTTACACATGTATATGAGGCGTATGATTTCTAGATATATATCAGTAGTTAAAAAATGCTGTGTAGCATAGATTGAGAGGATGTTCTTTTCCTTGTTAACACGTGTGGTTGGTAGTTTCTCTATTACTGTACTGCTAGAAAAACAGGAAATACAAACTTCATATTTTCTTATGAATGCGGAAGTTATGCAACAACTAATTGAATAAAAATGTCTTAAAATTTTTTAAATTTCTTTGAGGCCATTGTATGGAGAACGTCTTTTTGTTACCTTCATCAATTGAGAATATTTTGTGTGTTTTAACAACATGTTGGCGGATCGATATAGTTAAATCAATTCAAAATCTACCCGCAGAAATATTTTACTTTTTGGGATAATATTGTCCGATTGTTCTCAGAGAAATTACACAGGTAGCAAATCTCTTGCTTCGATATTAGACGTGTCAGAGGGAAAAACAGGTTTCCTAAGCAGTTAAAGCATTTGAAGAAAAATAACCACATGGAATGACTATGAGAATAAGGGAAAATGGTTTCAGAACAATAACTAAAGTAGCCGTAATCGCTTTTCCCTAACGTATCTTCCTTTTATGCTTGTAAATTCCAATGCAGGAGACGATGACAGAGAACCTTGCAAGATGCAGACATCGGATATTCTTAAGTCGGATTCGGATGGTAACCATGTGCAACAATCAATAGGTGTAGCTGCCGAAACAAGCCACAAAAAAGAAAAGTCTGTATTACAAGCAAAGCTCACAAAGCTCGCAATACAAATTGGCTATGCCGGTTCAACAATAGCTGTGTTAACAGTTATTATATTAGTTATTCAATTTTGCATAAAAACTTTTGTTATCGAAGAAAAACCTTGGAAGAATACGTACGCCAATAACTTGGTGAAGCATCTAATTATAGGTGTAACGGTCTTGGTAGTTGCGGTGCCGGAAGGTCTTCCCTTGGCTGTTACTCTTTCTTTGGCTTATTCAGTTAAAAAGATGATGAAAGATAATAATTTGGTACGCCACTTGGACGCGTGTGAGACAATGGGAAATGCCACTGCCATTTGCTCCGATAAGACTGGAACTCTTACTACAAATCGTATGACTGTCGTGCAATCGTACATTTGTGAAAAACTCTGTAAAGTCCTGCCAACTTTAAATGATATACCGAGCCATGTGGGCACACTTATAGCCCAGGGCATAAGTGTGAATTCAGCATACACATCAAATATTCTGGTAAGCCTTTTTTACAATATCATACATTTCATATCAAACTAACTCAGGAAGGTAATAACGTTATTTTTTTCATAAACAAATAAAATAATATACTTTTTTCGCATTGTAGCCTGGTCAAAACCCCGGTGATTTACCGACCCAGGTTGGTAACAAAACCGAATGTGCTTTACTTGGCTTCGTTCAGGGTTTGGGTGTCAAATATCAGTCGATAAGGGACGAGATAACTGAGGATAAGTTTACTCGTGTTTATACCTTTAATTCTGTTAGAAAAAGTATGGGAACTGTTATACCTAGACCGAATGGAGGTTTCAGACTTTATAGTAAGGGTGCTTCGGAAATTATTTTGAAAAAGTAAGTTGAACTGAATATTGCGTTTTCACCTTCCAATCTCTTTTGCCATAGGTGTGCATTTATTTACGGTCATGATGGTGTCTTAGAAAAGTTTACACGTGATATGCAGGAGCGTCTCATTCGTGAAGTTATTGAACCTATGGCTTGCGATGGCTTGCGTACAATTTGTATTGCATATCGGGATTTTGTTCCGTCAAAAGCTGCAGTAAATGAAGTTCACATTGAGAATGATCCCAATTTTGACGACGAGGAAAATATTATGAGCAATTTAACTTGCTTGTGTGTAGTAGGTATGTCCAAATGCAAATTGAAAAAAAAGTAAATATCAGTTGCTTGCTTAAGAAGCCATCAACAAGGAATTTTTACCGCAATATAACTTTCTCCATTTAAAATGAGAGAGAATTTCCTTTGACAAACCATACCTAATTAACTTGAGCTATTTTACGTTACAGTAATTCAAAACTTTTGTTAATTGCTGTTATCTTCATCTACAATTTTGCGCAATCAATTAGCTTGCTAACGATCTTAGTTGCTACATTTGATATTATTTTAGTGCATACTACACTTTTTTTCCATTGATATTTGCTCTCTGGGACTTGTCTTGTTTTTATAGTATAATAGTGGGAAGGAAGTTATATTCAGGTACTAAAAGATGCCAAATAACGCAAAATATGTCGAACGCGCAAATTAAAGAAATAAATGAATGTTCGTTCTTGTAAAAAATTTCTGTTCTGTATTGTGGTGTTGTATGGTTATACATGGACAATCAGTATCACGATCTGAAAGTTTGTTATATTCGCCCAAGCTCCTAGCCCTCCAGATTAAAGATTCTTGCAAACCTGGCCTTCTTTGGCTCGGCAGACCAAACTGTGTTTGACTTTATAAAATGTTAGCCAAACACCCGGTGTCTGATTTTGCATATGGCCACACCACAAACAAAGTGTAGCAAAACAAGTGGGTACCGGGAGAAACAAGAAATTTTTGGACTGAGCTAACTGAAGATTTTTGTAAAAAAACAAAAACGGTTAAAAGACTTGTTTGTCTAAGATTTTTCAAAAGGAAAAAAAGCAATTTTTCACGAGAAAGGTTTTTGAGTTAGTCTTTGAAAAAGGAAGTGAGCAGTTTGGATACCAGAATTTAAGAAAAAGTAAAGAAATAAATAAATATTTAGTAGATTTTTTTTAAGGAGGTGTTAATAATTTAGTTTAATTAACAAAACAAAAAATTCTGGACATTTTTATCAAAGCCACATAAGAAACATCCACATAGGAATAAAAAAGCCAATATTAATTCTATATGCATACGTACGTATACACACTTATATTTGTGAAGAATAATTGAAACAAAACCACAAACTTTTGAAGCGACGTTGACAGAAATAAAACAGAAGTGTGTGAAGGCAATAGTGATTGTATGATGATATATATATGTACATATGAACATATATTGCTATGAAATTCACTTCTCCAAGATACAGTCCGCATCATTGGATCATGGATATTCTGTTTCAGAGAAATACACTTCAAAATTCTTTTGTTATATTATATTCCTTAAATGTAGTGTAACGAGTCTTTTTGGGCAGAGTATACTCAGCCAATCCAGGACTCTTTCCAAGAAAATTTATAGTATAAAAATAACTTGGACCTTCGGTTTGGTTTTTATGTTTCTATTTATTTATTTATTAGAAGATTACAATGATCAGCGATTTTAAAAAGCGTAGGAGAAAAAAACCAACGTGGTGACCCGATTCTTCTTTAGCGTTTTACTACTTCTTATTCGTTCCTGATTATTATTGTACTTTCTTTTTTCCATATTCCCGAATCGCGAGTTTCTGTAAAAGAGAGAGTGCGCCGCGAGTGTCATAGCAACCAACCGTCCACTATCCGTAGACTCCCAGAAACCCTAACAGTCCAAGTCAACTCGTAAAGGAGCGATCTCTTACCTTTGGCTGCTATGACACAATTGAAAGGCTGAGCGTGGTGCTACACGCTCTTTTATAGTCGCGATCACCGTCGCTAGTCCGTTACAAAGTTGCTTTGACGTGCCTATGTGTTACAATGCTATTCTTACATATCTATCCCTACGTGTGCTAACTTAGGTCTGATCGAACATGTTGCATTTACTAATACTATCTTAAGTACCGACTTGTATGACCTTATTGATAGTGTTTGCTTGTATGCCTATCCTCACATTGGTTTTACCGCTACTCGGTACGATTCTGTATAACGTTAACCCAGGTACCGAATTGTATGATTTGGTAACCGTTAGGTGTGTGAATGCTAGTCTCGCTATGACTTACAGTCTTAGGGCTGTTCGGTCTGTGCTCACAATATGTTTCCTTAGGCAAAAAAAATTATGTTTAACTATGTTCTACTATGTATGCATTTAAAGATTTTATACAATTTGTATACAATTTATAAATTTGTATACGTTTCATACATTTGTATACGTTTCATACATTTGTGTACCTTTCCTAGCTGGGTACTTTTCCTTTCTCTCTCTCTCTTTTTCTTACTGATTATCAAAAAGACATGTAAGGGACAAACCAGACTGACTGCTTGGGGTGTACAGATAGACATTTGTGCGGACGGACTTGTTATCAGTAGCGAAATGCTTCCTTACAGTAGGATTATTTACAATTTATTTTGGCAATACTCTCGACTGCTCAACTCAAATATTGTTGTTTTATTGACCCTTCCTTCCACAAATATTTTATTTTTATACATTTTGACAAGCATATTGTTATACCCAAATTCATGGCTTCATTTTTAATCCCTGTCTGCTTTTCCGTTAATCGTTTTTATCGGCCGGTAGGTGCATGACGCGCCTCGAATGTGCATTTGTTTCTCTCTTTAAGGAATTTGTTATCTGGGAAAATTACTTAACTGGAATAAACTGGATTTGGGATTTCCGTAACAATATATCAATTTGTTGTATATAAAATTATTTGAGGAAATCATGCAAAAGGTAAACCCTGTAAATCAAAATAGCACGCTATCGCCGGATACTTTGTGACAATTCAATCGAAAAGCAGAAGGAGGAGTTTAAAATCAAATCAGCTTTTGTATTTTCAGAAGCAATCTTCTTATTTCTTCAAAGAGTTCTGTTGCAAAGAAATAGCTTTGAAATTTATTACAGGATATATAATTTATAATTATCTATTATATATAATTATTTATTATTATGATCACATAAATTACCATCATTTTTACATATGCATGATAAATGAGGGAAACGAATGCGCCTACGACAGTTCCTGGCAATAGTTATAATAATGTTTTATTCCAATTGTCAAGAAACTTCTGCGGCTAATTAGGGCTAGTGAAGTGGTAATGAAAAATAAAAATTAAATTAAAAAAAAATAATATACGATCTATTATACATATTCAAATATTAACTGTATCATAATAATTATTTATATTAGAAAACTGACAGTATATGGTATATATAGGATAGATAATGTATCAATAATTTCGCTTTGTTCTTTATTCTATTCATGCCGTTCTTAATGGCTACTGTGCAACTCCAATCTTGTTTGACGTGTAAACAGCCACCAGTATTATTGAAGTTAATTTATTTATTTCGATGTACTAATGCGGGTCATCAATTCAAAATTATGCACTTCGCACTGCCGTTCCTTTTATTTCCTATTTGTCTTATTTATTTAAATTCGTTAATACAGGAGATCAACTCCGAATTTGCGTAGAATACCTTGGTTTTTCTTTTTGCTTACAATTAACGTGTTGTTTTTAAAGTTCATGGATGTTGTTTTCAAAAATTGAATGTCGTTTCTTTTTTTCCGTTGATATCCCTACAGGTGCCAGTCTTTTGTTTTCTTCTTATATCAGTGTTTGCAAAACATGGAGAACTCTCACGCTATATAAAAAAAGTTTATGTTATTAAAAATTAATTATTTTCCTGATTAATTAATTTTAATATTTAAATTTTTTTCAATAATGTTATCTTATTTGGAAATACTTTTCTTTCATATTATAACAATTAATGCAAATACCTACTTTTTAGCTGCAAAAAGCTAACATAATTACTTACATGTACATAGTGTGAACGAGTGGGGTATATAGACCTTAATTGGGTTGGTTATCTTGCTAATTGCAGAAGTTCTCTACTATTTTATTGTTAGATTCTTCGCAGGTCGGTCTGCTCAATCGACGAGTGTGCCTTTACCTATTGAGTACTCACTGTAGTTACAACGAAAGTAAACACTACCGCACTTGAGATTTGAACCCGTGGACATTGTTTTAGTAGTGGCGATTCTTACTTATTAGACTACTCATGTGGAATTTTATAAAAATGTCGTTTTTAATTATGTTCCAAATTAGAGGGGAGGATACTCCTCGATTGCTTCCCAGCCTAATAGTCTCCATGATCCCTGCCTACTTAATTCTTATGGTTAAGCTGTATAACAAATAATAATTATAATAACAATAACGATAATAAAAGCACACTATGAATAATTGGCTACTCCTTGCAATCTTCAAATATTAGTCACATCCTCGTCGATTTTATATGGGATTTGTTCGTTAATTTTGGCAACCTAGTCTAATTGTGAAAATATGAGAGGGCAAACCATTGCAATCCAATACAGCAAAATCATCCCCTTATCAAAACGCAAAGTAGATAGTACATCGTACAGCAGATATTATTTCCGCGCTACCAAGATAACCCTTCTAAAAGTGTCGGCTGTCAGCTTTATGAACGCTCGTACAGTCTTTGTCTGCATACTGACGTTCTGTACATAACTATTTAATGATAAACAAGCGACCTTCAAGAATCTTTTTCGTACAGCACTCGTTTCCGAAATCAATCAATTTCTTCGTGTTCATTTTCAGTCAAATTAATTTTGGCGCGCATTTAATCGCGTTATGTATATTCAAGGACCAGCAGTTGACCAATTCATAATTACATGGGTTTTATTGAAAGACACAAAGTATTGAAAGCGTAGGTTCTAAAAAGAAATGCTCAGTTTATTGAAATAAAAAATGAGCTGAGAAATATGATTTCTTGTTTAGATTACGCAAACAAGTAAAACACCTTTAAAAATGTAAAAATTTTTTGCTTAGGCTTAATACATTCCTTTTCATGGTATATCACCATTGTCATATGGGCTGCCAAAGAATGAGGAATATCGGCTTTAAATTTGGCAGCAACATTGGAAGTTCACACAGAATGGTGGGTATTGAAAATGGGCCAAATCGGTCCAACACGTCTATTATGTAAAATGGATTACAAACACATGGATTTTTTGGCTATTACTCATAAATTAGAGTAGAGATAAAGATAAGAATTTCCGTCTACATTCTATGTGATCCTACGATATCATAAAATGCATGAATTCATTATCAGCATTGAATTCTGAATCGATTTAAGCTTTTCCTCTGTCCCTCTCCACAGTGTCTATGGTAGACATTTTCCTGGTCACAAAACGGTAGTTATCTGTGGAAATTGATTGCTTTTAAAAATGATTTAAACCGGTCGAAGGACAAGCCTACAGTACTACGTAAACTTAAACACCTGCATTTTCAAACACAAAGTAAAGATTTTTGCTCATTACTTATGTCTTACAACGGATATAATGACAAAAATTTGTTCTGGTGCTAGGTAGAGCTTATATGAAATTTTTGTTTGCCCCAAACTAACTCAGTAGCCATCGGCGAAAAAGTACACAAAAATTAGGTTTGATTAAATAATATGTTATTGGGTTGTTGTGTTTTCATATTCGTTCGTGGATTTGTAATCTATTTTGTTTTTCATGTAAGTCATCGTCTATTTTCTGTTCATTTTTTGTAACATGTTCGTTAGTCCGTTTCCGTGTCTGTCTGTGCGTTAAATCAATATCGAGTCTCCTATTATACACCTATTTCTCATTTTCACAACGCATCCTACTTTGCCATAATAAACCCATTGCACTTTCTCTCTAACAACACATTATTTAGAATTGATATATCAACATGAAAGAAAATAAAAAATTTCTTTTACTTCTACACCTTTTACATCTATTCTTAGATGAGCCTTTAATCCTATTTTTAATGTAAATTTTAAAGTCAATTTCGAGTAGTTTGAGGCAACCTTTAATCGTAATTTTTAAAAATAGGATTCACATAAGACAGTTTTTGAACATTAGCTGGTAAGTAGTAGGTTTTAATACACATTTAAAGTAACCTCTAAAGTAAATATTAATATATCATTCATACAAATTTTAAAGTAATTTTAATGTATTTTAAATTTTCTTAGTTTAAGCAATCTTATGGTATTTAAATAGTGTTAATGTGAATTTTAACTAGTTTGCTATTATGTATAGCATACTTCACCAAACCAACGAAAGAATCAAATCGAGTCCGAGTAATGAATATTTGCACAGCATTGAAGCTATACGCAAAATGTACTCAATCCTATAAATCGTGTAACAGTAAACCTGCCCCTATTATCTAGAAACTGACCTCGGACTCTCTGTTTCTCTTCTCTTTGCATTTTATTAAGGCCAAAAGCAAACTTCCTTTGTAGAATTCTTTCCATTGTTAGTAACAGATACAAATTGATAAATATCTACATTAAAATAAGAATTACAAACAGATAAAAGAATACAATAAAAAATGAAATAGCAGTTTTCATCTAGTGCCGCTGAACTGACCATTGCCCTTTGGTGAAGAGAATGGCAAAAACAAATCGAGAGATCCCAGCCCCTTTACATCAATATACGCGGTCATTACATATTTCCGCGTTGTAAGATCCAACAATTTTCATAGTCATTCGTAGAAATGTATCCACACACCATGGCCAATCCTCCATCATGCTTCAGATGGATTTCCATCGCTATATTCGCTCTTGCTTTTTGCTTACCATTGTATACGAATATAGTAAACTTAAACTAGTTACTAAAAATTACGGTTTTCTAAAAACTTTTGCAAAATTGGAGTTTTGCAACTCAAGGCGTTTTATCATATTAACTTCGCTTATACATGATGTTTTTTTTTTTGGAATGTGGCTATGAAAATCGTTGGATCTATCAACGGTTTTGACTTTATTTGTTACAGATCTGACAATATTTCGTTTTTCACATTAGATAAGACTATTTGGTTAGCCTGATCGGTGCTTATTTTCTTTGGAATCAATAAACAATAGCACAACTAATTAAAATTGCTATTGCTATTTTTCTTGACTTTTACCTTCATAATCAAGTTTCGAATGTCTTTAGAAATTGCTTTATGTCGTTGTATGTTTTGTGGCATTTTAGAGAAAGGATATAAAGAAATTCACTTTAATTAATGAATTACTTTTTAAATGTACGCACAAGCATAAAATCCAACTACAGTTAACTAAAAATATATTTTTTTTCGAAACTTTCAGTGATGTAGACTGTTTGTGTTTTTTGTGGGATTAAAGTATATTTTATGCTTATAACTTTATCTTAAGTCAAAAAAATGCAACCAATTCTGAAACCATGCAGTTTAAATAAATTTATCAAAAATCCCTTTCCTACCTCTCTTTAAAGGTTTTTTTAAACAACTTGAATGAACAGAATGGAATTTGTTGCAGTTTTATGCTTGCAATATTCTAAGAAATTTTATTTTATAGGAAAACATGTGGTTCTCATAGGCGCCTATTATTCCGAATGTGCAGTTTTCATAATACTATAAATTCTCTGTTAATTCTTACCGTTACTATGCTATCTGTTCAAATATTTTTTTTCAGTGTCATCTGTTAAGGACAGAGTCACACGCATTACACTTCACGTGTTGCGCAATGGCAAAGAAAACGACAAGAGGACTTATAAATGTATAGCCAAATTCGTAATTAACTACACAAATTTCATCTCGAACTTGACGTTTTTTGACAGAGACATTGAATCCTTTCAAGTCGCCCTTAGTCTCATTCTATTCAATGAATCTATACTAACATATTTTTTTTAGAAATGTTTTAAAAATTAGCATTATCTAAACGAGTATGCTAGGCAATTTAGAAATCAACACGTGACACATTGGACTGTAACTTTCACAAAAGACATTCATTTGACACGGACACTCTTTTAGGAGTGTTTGTACTTTAAAGAAAAACTTTTTTTTGGAGAATGTATTTTTCCCCAAGTTTACTAAAAGGTTGAAAACCTTTATTAAGTCATGAAAAAAGGCACATGACTCTGAAAAATTTATAGCGATTTTTCCCTTTAAATGAGGGGAAACTGCTGTCTAATATGTATCCTTCTAATGCAACGCAAAACAAATGTTCAAGTTCTTAATGCATTCAGACAACAAGAGCAAGTAAGAAAATTCCAATCGATCGCAGTCGAACGTTTTATTACCAGTAACTATTGCGGGAGTGCCCTTCGCCTATTTTCAATACCAACCTGTCGGCATAAACCCCTCATGTTTCTGCAGAATTTAAAGCCAATTTTTTAATTCTTGCAACTGGGAGAATGATTACTGCACATATCCATTGATTCAGAATTTGTAGCTTATTTAAAGTATACACAATTGACAGAGCATGTTATACTTCTGTCTAAACGCTCCAAAAGCTTTGACAAAATCAATATACTGCTAATGTTGTATGCTGGACGTAAAAACAGAGAAAGGCTTATGTTAGTACCAATAAACAGATCAGAATAGATTTATCACTTATGATTTTTTCAAAGTTAAATCAAGAGCTATGGTTATGTATTCTCTTTGATAATAAATTACAAATTATTTAACAACTATCTACATGACAGGCATTGAAGATCCCGTGCGCCCCGAGGTACCTGATGCTATTCGCAAATGTCAGCGTGCGGGCATTACAGTTCGTATGGTGACGGGTGACAATATCAACACAGCGCGTTCAATTGCTAGCAAATGTGGTATATTGAAACCTAATGAAGATTTCCTTATATTAGAGGGTAAAGAGTTCAACAGGCGAATACGCGATAGCAACGGCGATGTAAGCATACCCAAAAACATGCAGATTGCAACTATTAATATAACAAATTATCCTGTATTTTATAGATCCAACAGCACTTGATTGATAAGGTATGGCCAAAATTGCGCGTGCTAGCTAGATCATCGCCAACGGACAAATATAACTTGGTCAAAGGTAACAGTAGAGAATTATGAAAAGGCTTATATCATACTTCTCGGGTATTTTTCTCCACAGGAATTATTGATAGTACAGTTAGCGAAAACCGCGAAGTTGTGGCTGTAACAGGGGACGGAACAAACGATGGACCGGCTTTAAAAAAAGCCGACGTTGGCTTCGCAATGGGCATTGCAGGAACCGATGTTGCAAAAGAAGCTTCTGACATTATATTAACTGACGATAATTTTAGTAGTATCGTGAAAGCAGTCTTATGGGGGCGAAATGTTTATGATTCCATTGCCAAATTTCTGCAATTTCAGTTGACTGTTAATGTAGTCGCCGTAATAGTAGCATTCATAGGCGCATGCGCCGTCCAAGATTCTCCGTTGAAAGTAGGTGCCATTTCCTAAAACTTTATTAAGATAAGCTAATTGTTTCCATAATTTATCAAAAAGGCTGTTCAAATGCTTTGGGTGAATCTCATCATGGATACACTCGCTTCTCTGGCGTTAGCTACTGAGCTTCCAACCCCTGATCTTCTACTACGTAAACCCTATGGTCGTACCAAACCCTTAATATCACGCACAATGATGAAAAATATTCTAGGTCAGGCATTTTATCAACTGATTATTATATTCGGTCTTTTATTTATCGGTAATTATCTATACGGAAAATTGGTTTCACGGGATTTTACAAGCGTGTTCTTTTCAACCTTAGGTGACTGGCTGTTGGATATTGAATCTGGACGTGGCCAGGAACTAGGAGCTGGTCCAACCGAACATTTTACAATAATTTTTAACACTTTTGTCATGATGACTTTGTTTAATGAAATTAATGCACGTAAAATACATGGCCAACGTAATGTGGTAGAAGGCCTTTTTACAAATCCAATCTTTTATACAATCTGGATATTTACAATGATCTCTCAAGTAAGTTTACGTGCTGTATGTGTATCCATAGCATGTCCCATTACATTTCTATTTTGATAATTTAAGGTTATCATTATTCAATATGGAAAAATGGCATTTTCAACAAAAGCACTGTCAATCGATCAGTGGCTTTGGTGTGTTTTTTTCGGAATTGGTACATTAGTATGGGGGCAAGTGGTGACATCAGTGCCGACAAGAAAATTGCCGAAAATTTTGTCGTAAGTAAAAAAATTTGTTAGTAAATTTAGATCCGAGCAACTGAATCAACATTTCACTATTGATATTTTTGTTTTCAATTTCATTTTCGCTCATTTAGTGTCATTCTCGTTTTGATCATTGGCAATCGAAGAATAGTTTTTTATCGCTTGCATGCGAGAGTTCATGTCAAAGGAATAGAAATGTGGATCACACATAAATAAATAAAAAAGAAATTGAAAACAAAAACATCAACCGTGAAATTTTTTTCCAGATATATTAGTGGAACTAGAAAAAAATTTCATTGGGGTTTTCTTTTAAAGAAAGGCACCGATAAAAGTGTTATGGTTATATAAAATATTAATATTTGTGAGACATTGATTTTGTATTATTTCCACTTTTCTCACTTCATTTTTTCCAAAAAATTTTTTTTTGAGTTGGGGTAGATTTGATTAGCGATAACACCGTTTCATCGTTTGTATGACAACAAAAATGATTCTATTATAAACTATAGCAGCATAAAAGGTGTAACCAATTTGGATTGTAGACAACAAAAATAACATCTCAGTAGCAAAACGAAAATTTAAATGACTATCACCATGGTTGAATAACAATTCCAAATTGATAACGGCGACGTAACTTTAAGTAAAGCTTTTTTAGGCCCGGGATAAAGGGTTGAAGCCGCGGTTTCGTTTGTGCTCGTTTACATTGTGTTCTACAAATTGAACTACCTTCCCAGGCCTGACAAATAAATATAATTTATCAATTTTAAAACTTTTGATTTTTGTGTTGTAACATTTGTTACAAACACAACCGACCACTGTTGTACAATGTTGGGTTGTTTAATTCGACCACGAAGAGTGACAGGCAGGAAGAATAGTTCTTAAGCCTATATGCAAGCCTGCGATAAACGAAAAAATGTAGGAAGAAGAGCTGTAGACTAAAAGGGAGAAGAGATAGAGATTTAGTTGAAAAAAGAAGTAAAATCAGATATGGTAAATTCGAACGGTACAGAAAAGAGAAGGAAGTAAATGACAAAACAAAAAAATTGTTTTTGTTAAATTGCTTTCAAGACAAAGGTTTTGTATGAGTATTATAATATTAGTTTGGGGAAAAAGAAATCCATTATTTTTTCGGTAGATGGCTGCACTGA